GCAGTTTTTTTTGGTCCTGCATTGTAATTGGTGATGGTAGAAGGCCTGCACTGCCAGAGTTTCTTAAATAAGAGGGTGTGACTGCTGGTCTTGCAGTATGAAGGGAGCCTGGTGGGAGCGAGGTATAAAGTAAAAGTCCTTTTTTTTTTTCTTTTCTTTTCTTTGGTACCCTGTGCCTAAAACGAGCATTTTTTCATTTTCTCCGAGTTCAGCTTTAAGTCATGTCCATAAAACAGCTTGCAACTGAACATTTTAAATTTCATTAAGCAATGATTTTCATTAAAATGTCTTATAGATTTAGTTTACTTTCATTAATACTTGCTTCTCTTATTTTTCAGTCCTTAGTATTCGGGGAGCACAAGAGGAAGAGCCAGCAGATCCACAACTGATGAGGTTGGACAACATGCTTTTGGCGGAAGGTGTAGCGGGCCCAGAAAAAAGGTGGAGGTTCTGCAGCAGCAGCAGCAGCCGCCGCTGCCTCAGGTGGAGCGGGGTCAGACAACTCAGTGGAACATTCAGATTACAGAGCAAAATTATCCCAGATCCGACAAATCTATCACACAGAGTTAGAGAAATATGAACAGGTAATGAAAGTCCTGTGATCCGTTATAACCTGACACAGAAAATAGCATGGATTAGATTGTAGTATGACTCCGTAACGATCCAGAGGCTGCATAGCATTTAATAAATGTGTCAGTTTGGGGTTTTTTTTGTTATTTATTGTATTTACAAGCTGACCTTTATTGTTTTAGCCCTACCACACTTGTTGCTTTTTACACTACTTGTTTATATAGGAGTTGTATTAATACTGTGTGGAACATGTTAAACTATTTCTCATGAAGCCAAACATTACTTGGTTTCGCGTCAGCATTCTGTATCTTTGAGTATATGCAGCTTCTTTTTGCAAAGAGTACTGCAATAAGGAGTATTTCAGCAACCAGTCAATCTCTATCTTGAAATGGTTTTGCTTTACTGATTGAATTTTGATTGGTTAGTGCACTGTCTATTTTGCTTTTCAGGACTTGTGCTCATAGGCTGCAGTTTGTATAGAAGTGCAATTTGTACAGCAAGGTTTTACAAAGCTGTCAGTCAGCTTCAAGCATGTTTGGCAAAAGCTTTAAAGACCAGTTCACACTACGTGCGTTTCAGTTGCTTTTTTCTGCACCCAGAACGCTCAGAAAGTAGGTTATATGGTTGTCAATGCCATAGTTCATATCAGTGCTTGCAGTTCCAGTTGCAGAAAAAAAGTAGAACAGTCTGCATTTTTCCTGCACAGAACTGCACTACAACACACTGGAATGCGGTAAAACACTGGAATGCGGTAAAACACACTGGAACACACGTCTCTATTTAAATTGAAGAAAAAGGGAGGGCAAAGAATGAACTGGAAAGCATCAAAAACGCACCGGAAAGCTTCAAAACCGCCCATGCAGAAACAAATTCGGGTCACATCTGGACTGCATTTCTTATAGTGTGAACCAACCCTAGCCCTCAGTTCACATCTGTGCGGGTGGTGCCGCTGTGGGACCCGCAAAAATACCTGCAGCTCCTCCACCTACAAAGAGGAATGCGGGAGGGTCCCATTAATTTTTATGGCATGCCGCACAGAAATCGCAACCATACTGAGAACCTCAGTTTCCATGCTGCAATTTCCAAAGTAGTGCAGGGACTTCTTCCCTGTGTGTCCCGGAACACGGGAGTCAATTCAAATGAATAGGCTGTCGTGCCCGCGCAAATCGCTGCCCACGTGACCGATGTGAACCAGGGCTAAGGGCCAGTTCACACTACATGCATTTCAGTGTGCTTTTTTTCTGCATCCAAAACGTACAAAGTAGGTTATATGGTTGTCAGTGTCCTAGTTCACATCGGTGCTTGCCGTTCCAGTGCGTTCCGGTGTAGTAAAAAAAAAAGTAGAACAGGCTGCATTTTTCTGCACAGAACTGTATTGGAACATGGTAAAATGCACATGTCCCTATTTAAATTGAAGGAAAAAAAGGGGGAAATTTAACCAAAACGCGTATGCAGAAATGCATCCAGAACACATCTGGACTGCATTTCTATAGTGAGAACTGGCCTTAACGGCCGGTTCACACCAGATGAAGTGCAGTACGGTTTTGTTTTTTTTTCAAAAATGCATGCACAGTGTTTTCCATGTATTCCAGTGGCCCTAGTTCACACCAGTGCAGTCAGTTCCAGTCATTTTCCAGTGCAGGAAAAAAAAAGTAGAGCATGCTGCATTTTTTCTGCACAGAACTGTTCTGGAACATAGCAAACTGTATCAAAACTGCACCAGAATGCTGTGTGGTATGAACTGTAAGCAAAAATGTATCCGGAATATATCCGGAGTGCGTTTTTGTGGCATGAACTGGTCCCCAGGGCTGGTTCACACCAGATACAGTCCAGTGCATTTTTTTCCGCATTAAAGTGCATGCACAGTGTTTACCATGTATTCCAATGGCCCTAGTTCACACAAGTTCAGTCAGTTCCAGTGCAGAAATAAAAGTAGAGAATGCTGAATTTTTTTCTGCACAGAACTGTACTGAAACAGCAACATGTATCAAAAACGCATTGGAACAGAGTGTGGTATGAACTGTAAGCAAAAATACATCCGGAGTGTGTTTTTTTACAGTGTGATCTGGCCCTAAGGGCCATTTCACAGCAGGTGTGCTGGGACTGCGCCGGGCACTCTTGCCTAGCGTAGTTCCAACGCAAGATAAGGCAAAAAGCCATGTTTCCTATGGGGCCAGCTCATACCACTGCACTGCTGTGGGGTGTGCTGAAGAAAGTACAGCATGCCCCTCTTTGTAAGCACAGTGTGGTGTGATACCACATCACACCATGTGGAGGTCAAAACCTAATGAAATATCTTAAAATGTAAACCGTAAATGATGCAGTGCACCAGGAATGGCGCATCAGCACTGTATCCTGCTAGTGCACACCAGTAGCTATGCATTCAGCATGGCTGCTGATCTGAAAGCTCTAAAAAAGCGACCATTGGCTCCATTTTGGACTCCATATTGGGCCCCACTGAGTTCCCCTCTCCTGTGACAGCAGGAGGGGGATCTTTTTATTCAAATACAGCATGGCCATGCAGAGACCACCCAAACAGCCACTTCATTCCTTCAGAGTTCTGTGAATGTACAAACTACATCTACCTTTATAAAGAAGTAAAGGAAAATCCTCCTGCGCTAAAAATGGGGCCCTAACACTCAAGCTGCCGACTCTAACCTCTTACCTTATGAGTGAAGTGACTAGATACTACAAAACAGTGTAGCGCTAAATAAATAATATATATTATATTGTGAAAAAATAGAAAAATATATATAAGGCCCCCCAGTGCATATAAGGGGTATAATATAAGTGCAACACGTGAATTCCCTATGGGAATAAATAAGTGCAAATGGGACCAGTGTCCTATCTAACACTCGTGACTAACATACTGTACAAACAACACATTAAAACATGAATAAAACCAATATAATGATATATGAATCCACACAAATGAATAAAATGTCCAATAATAGTGCTCAAAATTAGATGCTCATGCAGGTGATGGTAAGTGTTCACTCCATGTGAATCCTTAGTGGCCAAAATGCCCCCTCACCTCCTTACATCAACCCTACAGGGTCAGCTCGCTCAGAGTATTGCACTGCTCTGAATTGTACCAGGATATCTTCCAGGTACACTTCACAGTAATAAGCGCTTCAATCCTTCTTTATATTGCACAGCCAACAATATTCTCTCCGGATCATAAATAAACAAGAAACACCTCCATAGTGTAATCAATTTAATGGAGTATAAAACAATATAAAAATGCCCACTCACATGCTCCTTCGCCTCTGACACTGCTCATTCACCTCATGCTAGAGGTGTACTACATGGGTATTCAATACAGGAGTTTCAATATGGCCTCCACGCCGGAAATGACGTCACTGCGCACCTGGAAATGCCTCCTTGCGTACCGACGCGTTGCGTCTCACTGGACACGTGACTTTCTCAGGGTAGGAAGAGCATCTAATTTTGAGCACTATTATTGGACATTTTATTCATTTGTGTGGATTCATATATCATCATACTGGTTTTATTCATGTTTTAATGTGTTGTTTGTACAGTATGTTAGTCACGAGTGTTAGATAGGACACTGGTCACATTTGCACTTATTTATTCCCATAGGGAATTCACGTGTTGCACTGATATTATACCCTTTTTTTATGCACTGGGGGGCCTTATATATATTTTTCCACAATATAATATATTATTTATTTAGCGCTACACTGTTTTGTTTTATCTACATCTACCTTTAGCCTCCACAGTCAATGGCTTGTAGTTCTCAGTGAACTGTGAGGGTGCTGGTGAACGTCCTTGTAGTTCACTGATTCTTCCTGTCGCTCAGTAACTGTCTGCCCGTATGAGGTACAGGCGTACAGCTGTACTGAGTGTTTGCAGGATCCTGGCATTGGTCCCGCAATTTGCTGATCGAGGGGGCAATGCCTTACAGGCTGCCAAGTTTAAATAAATAAATGCACTTTTTCTTTTTTTAACCTGCAAAAAGATGTGCATTTTATTATTTTTTTTGTAAAAGGTGAACTTATCCTTTAAACTGAAGCTGATGATTGCTTAAAAAGTTTCAACAAAGCTGCCTGAAGCTTGCTGAAAGATTTGCTTTTTAAAAGCTTGCAGTACACACTGCTCTTACGTAGACTTGCAGCTGTGTGTACAAGGCCTTAAGCATTTTATTGTAGAAGGTCGTTAGTATATTTAATGGTTACTTTATGGATTGTGATTTTGAGTTAACAAATGTTAAAACTTGGGGGATGAATTTGTAGGCCCAGTGTGCAAAAGCCATCATACATACTGTAGATTATGCGAGATGTAAATGACAACTGTGCATGAACTTTGGCGTGCAGAATTTTAAGTCAACTTACAAAAAGAATGACATAAATCACAGTTTTAGTCCTGTTGTTCCTTTTTAGGCCTGTAACGAATTCACAACACATGTGATGAATCTGTTACGAGAACAGAGCCGGACCAGACCTATTTCCCCCAAAGAGATTGAACGCATGGTTGGAATTATCCACAGAAAATTTAGCTCTATCCAGATGCAGCTCAAGCAAAGCACATGTGAAGCTGTAATGATTCTTCGCTCCCGCTTCCTCGATGCTCGGTGAGGCCATACTGGATTCCCAAATGTATTATGCAGAAAGCTGATTGTACTCCATAAGACATTATGATCCCAAACTGACCACAAACACTGTCTTTACACCTGCCAAATCCATATGACACAATCATACACTACGGTAGATCTTTACTATAGTAATTGCTGAATGTTGAATTTGAGCCAATACTTTTTAGTTATGGGTGGAGTTCACAATGTTATAACTCCTGTCAGATTTTTATTGTGTTCACACTTGAGATTGTCTTTTGCATCTTGTCCCAGGGACCACAGAAAAAGAGGGGAATTTCTTCACTGGGGACACAACATTGAAAATCTGATGGAATTTCCATCATTTTTCAGCTCTGTTGGAGAGAATGTTCACTTCCTGTCCTAGTGACCACACACTGAGGATGCATCACTCCAGTGAGAACAGCAGTATAAGCCTGAAAACATGTCTATCTCATCCATGGCTGCAATTCCATCTATGTTCAGACTTTCACTTTTGGTGTGATTTACTGAATGGCTAAACTACGCCTCACTAAACTACATAGAGAGTGCAGTGCCACTGTGTATTCATGATGTAGCTGTCAGCAGTTGTGTGCTTTACAACTGAATGCCAAGAATTCAGACACTTTGTGCAATGTGCTAGCTTACTATGAATTAAGTCCAGCGAGGTGATACCACCTTGTGGACTTATCTCGGTTTATTTAATGCTCCTCTCCTGAACACACAAGTGATGATTTACAACTGAAAGTTTCACGGAGTGCGGGGAGTGCGACTATTGCTACACTCCACCATTCTAAGAGGAGAGAAACTTTCTTCTTTTATTTCAGCACCCTCCCCTCTGCTCTTCATTCCCAGAAGGCTTTGTGTTTTGTGAATAAGTTCACATAATACAAAGTACTCTGTGATTGGGCAAAAGAAGGAGAAGGGCGCCAGAAATATGCCAATAGTTATGTTCTGGAAGTTCAGTAAAAAATGTAATCTGTAAATCAAAGAGGTAAGTCCAAGTTCAAGGTGGCATGTTACTTGTTGGAATAAATCCATAGCAATCCAGCAGATTTTATAAAGTGATTTCCTGGAGTTAAGTTAGTTTAGTTTAGTTAGCTTGTTCGTAATTTCCAGTAAGCACATGTGTGTTCTGGGTCTCTGACTTTAAAGTAGAAGGCCTCATGCACACAGGGCATCTGTCTAGCCCCTCTGAACTCCAGAACACCTGGCAGGAGAAAAGCGGTTTTACAAAAATGCAGTGAAAGCTGCGTATTGCTTGCACGTTTAGGCACATCAAGCATTTGAGTGTTAATAGATTCCATTGGCCATTTTTCCTGGCCACTGGAATGCATTAACCCCCCCCCAGTGCTAAACACATCTAGCGTTTAAGTGCATCTAGTTCTTTTTTTCTGCTTTTCTCTTTTTTTGAATGCACTTTTGGGGTTTTTTGTTTTCAGCCTGTAAACACGCCTCTTTATATGCCTGTAAACCCCTATGTGTACATGGATACTTAGACTTCTATAGAGGTGCTTTTACTGGTTGGATAAAAAAAAAAAAAAAGCCAAGCGCCTGTAGAAGAGGCGTTTAAGCCCTGTGTGCAAGAGGTCTTTAGGCCAGATGCAGCCAGGCAACTATTTATTTGTGGAAGTAGGTTAGCAATAGCAACTCACATGATAGGTGTATCTTAAGAGTAGAAGTGTGAATTGGTCCTAAAGGTACAATCCTGTTAGAGCAAAGTGCAGATCTAAGATTACAACTAGGAGTTGAACCTGGTAAATGTATCACTGTTGCACCTAAAAAAAAAAAAAAAAAAGTCCCAAATATTATGTAAAAACCACCGATGCATGCGTCTCCTAAGCTGCTGAGACCAGCAGCACCTGAAGTATAGCAATAGTTATGCTCTTGACACTCTGTAAAAATTCTGTAAATTTAATGAGATCATTCCTAGGTGGCATGCAACTTGTTGGATTTAACCCATAGCAATCCAGCAGAGTTTACAAAGTGATTTCCTGGAGGGTTCTTCTTGACTTAAAGGAGAACCCTCACTTCAGGTTTTTCTTCTTTTTTTTTCCCCACTCAGGGGAAAAAGTACATTTACTTTTGTCCCATGATCCTATGTGCTTTGTAAGCCAACAGGATGCCCCTCCTCAACTTGCAGCTATTTGACAGCATTGCTAGCAAGGAGACGGCTGCTTGGTAACTACATTGTTGGACGTGCAACATGATTCCGAAGCCTGACCTTGCTTACCAGAAAACAAGAGAAATTAAAAGGAGGCATTCATAGGCAACAAAATGGATATATCGTCTTCAGAAATTTCTTTCATCTGATCTCCTGTTTACATATCATAGAAAATGTCTTATTTTAACTTGAGCTTACACTTGGTGAAATGTAATTTTCATAAGAGGAGAGGCGTAATCGACTCGCACAACTGCAGCCTTTCAGAGTATCAACAATTATCTGCTGGATGGATTTTGGAGCCCCTGCCCAAAGAGAGAAGTCAAGCTGGTTTATCTGAATGCAAAATGTTTGTATTTGTAATAGAAGAAAGTGTTTGTACATATTGTATTTGTATAATTTATCATTGCACCACTTTGGAGGTGAGATTGGGAGAAGTGCCAACCACCTAGTCATATTCTAATTGCAAAGTAATATGTGGTGTAATACCCAAAGTGGTAGCAAAACATGCTTTATAGCATTGGGAATGGATATCAACCTTTTTATTATTATTATACAGGATTTATATAGCGCCAACAGTTTGCTCAGCGCTTTACAGTATAACAGGAGACAATACAGCAACAATACAGTTCAATACAAGAGGGATAGGAGGGCCCTGCTCCTTGGAGCTTACAATCTAGGAGGGAGGGGCTAGTGGTACAAAAGGTAGTAACTGTGGGGGATGGACTGGTTGGAAGAGTAGAATATTCCATTATTAGCCGAGGTCAGGATAGGCTTCCCTGAAGAGAGCGGTTTTCAGAGATCGTCTAAAAGTGAGCAGAGCAGGCGATAGTCTGATAAATTGGGGTAGAGAGTTCCTTAGGATGGGGAAAGCTCTGGAGAGACGAGCATGGGAGGAGGAGACAAGGGAGCTAGAGAGCAGGAGGTCTTGCGTGGAGCGGAGAGTACGGTTTGGGTGATATTTGGAGACAAGATCGGTGATGTAATTTGGGGCAGAGTTATAAATGGCTTTATTTGTTATTGTTTTGAATTTTATTCGTTGGGCAATGGGAAGCCAGTGGAGGGATTGGCAGAGAGGGGTGGCAAATACAGAACGGTTAGTAAGGTGGATGAGTCTGGCAGCAGCATTCATGATAGACTGAAGAGGGGATAGCCTGCTATTAGGTAAGCCAATGAGGAGATAGTTACAATAGTCAAGGCGAGATATATTTATATTTATTGCTGTTTCCCTCTGAAATGTGCCCTCTGTTCAATCTGGTGGCTATGGGTATAGCTTAGCATGGTATGGTTGTCACTAGTTCAGGAGGTGAGAGGAATTCTTCCCATGGGGACAACTACTCTGATGACCTCATTCTAAGAGGGTATTTTCCATTTCTACAGATTTTACAAACTCTGTTGTGTCCGGAAGTAAGAAGAGACCTCCCTTATGAGACTGCAAAAAAAAATGTTTGGGGTTTTAAACCTTTTCCGTTTTATTTTTGGCTTTAGACAACCTATAGAAAACTGTACAATTCCAGGGAAAAGGGGATGATAATGTACAAATAACAATAACCATAGCAGCACAGATCTTAATTTGGATTCCTAAAAGACAATTTTGACGATTACTACTGTTTGCATTGCTGAACAAACCCAGCTTTGTGTTAGTGTGGATATGTTTAACACATTCGTGTGTTGACAGCCTGACAACACTGTTGAAAAAGTGCCCTGTTTTCTTAAATGGGGACCACATGTTTCGTCTACATGACAAGGGCTTTGAACGCAGATTACATTATAGATGCAGCGCAGTGTTTGGTATGGAATGATTTTGGATATTGATGAGTATTTTAAATCAAATAACAAATGAGAAGGCATATAGGCACTATGCACACTGGGTGTTTGCTCGTCTCCTCTGAGAGCCTTTTCTCCTGGCTGGAGAAAAGCAGCCTAAAATAATGTGCCTAAATCCACATTTTGCAAACGTGTTCATTCATTCCATTGGCCAGAATAATAATTTATTGTGGCCGTTGAAATGAATGAACACTGAATCGCTAGCATTTAGGCACATCTGGTAGTTTTTCTGGTGAAATGCTCCTCTCCTGAACACACAAGTGATGTTTTTTTGTTTTTGTTTTTTCTGCCTGTAAATACCTTTGTGTGCATGGAAACAGACTATTATGGAGGTGCATTTAGATGCAGAAAAAAGTAAAACACCCTAAAAAGCGGCGTGCATGAGGCCTTAGAAGTCGCTCTGTTGCTTCAGTCAACCTGATAAATAAGGCTTACTTTTAACCACAGCAGTCAAATGGATAATGTACCTAAATGGAGCATCAACTGTATCCAAACACAACATTTAACTGTAGTGTATTGCAGTTTACCAGTCCTTAGATGTGGTGCCTGCATTACTTTTCATTTTCTAACTTTTTTTTTTTTCGTTCTCAGCTGGGGATTCTGCCAGTAACATACTTCTAACTTCTAGTCCTAGAATAAGAGTCTCACTTGTCCTGTATCAGGACAAACAAAAGCAGATTGAACTGCAGAACAGTGCCTTGCTTCTATTCTCCAAAACATAGAGGGATTTGGTTCTGTAGTCCAAAGTGATGGCTGAGAACAATGTAATTGACAACAGTCAGCACAGAAAGAGAGGGCACCTAAACAACAATTGCCATGTGCCCTTTTGTTGAGCCTGCATTGATCGATGTGGATCAGCACAGCTGATCATTTCTTAGAAATTCAGAGTTCTCCTTTACACACAGTCAAGGATCCTGCATAACCCCTCAATTTCTTATCCTGGACTACAAAATAATAAGTCCCAATTCTTTAGAAATATGAAGGGGGGGGGGTAGGATTTAAAAGCTTAGCAAGGAACAACTGGGCAGGGCAGACACCATACAGAAGTTAGGAGGGGAGTGCATTTGCTGGTTTTCTGTACTTGCAGGATCTTTCACCGTTCACCTTTTTGAGTTCAACCGCAAGTCCAGATAAAGTTGGGATGCTGTGTTAAATCTAAATAAAAACCAAATGCAATGATTTGCAAATCTCATAAACCCATATTTTATTCACAATAGAATATAGAAAGCATATCAAATGGTTTAACTGAGAAAATGTACCATTTTAACACCTTCCTACACAGCATAGAACTGATTGATGGATTGCCATATAGACGTCCTGTCAGAAGGCGTCGCGCAGCAATGCGATCTGGTGAACACAGCCGATGAGTGATCACTACTCCAGCCCACTGCCAGTGTCATGTGATCGTTGGGAGCAATCACAGCAGATCACATGCCCATTGTATACAATGGATGGCTTCCTTTCATGCCATCCATTGTATACAATTGTGGTGTTAGTTGTGATTGGTCACAGTGCGCACATGGTACAGACAGGGCCAATCACAGCCCATCTGTACCATGTGATGAGCTTTGGCTAAGCACAAGTAATCACAACAAGACACTGAATGAATCATTTTAATTCAGTACATTTGTTAATATCAATGAAATACACTGGTATAAGCAATCATAATGGAAGGAAAAAAAAATCTTGATCACTTGCCCAGAGTAGTACAATGTTACTGTGGTAACATTGTATTGCTCTGGCCACAGTGTGTTGAAAAAAAACAATTATTATAAAAAATGAAAATTAAATTTTTTTATTAATAATATTATCATTATTACTATTTATTTAAAATTTTTTTTACCTACTGTCACCAGTCAGTGTCCAAAAAAAGTACAACTTCGAAAAACTCACTGTGCCTTTTACTAAATAATTGGACTGTCTATTTTCAAAAATGGGTAATTTGAGGGGTATTTGTACTATCCTGGCATTTTCGGGCCTCAAGAAATGAAATTGGCCGTCAGTACATCAGGATTGACCAATTTGTCTGGTATTAGTGGTGCACCAAAATGTAAAATTTTTGCACTGAAACCTATTCACGATGCATTTGGTCAAAAATAGACAATTCTTTTAAAAAATATTTGACTTTTTAATTGTCATGAATTTAAATGAATATGAATTTATTTTCAGCACTTTTTCAGTCAATAGGCTGCTTTCATACTGAGCAGATTTTAAAGTGCTTTTGCGTTTAAAAAAAAAACAAAAAGGCTCAAGAAATAAGCATCCTTTTAAATGCAATGTATGTATTCACACTGGTCCATTGCGCTTCCCTTGCGGTGTTAAAAAAAAGAAAAAAAAAAATCCCCCTTGCCGCATTTTTGGTGCATGTTTGGCAAGCTTAAAAAAAAAATGCACCAAAAACGCACCTCCCCATTAAGGCCTTGTTCACACCAATGCGTTTTTAGGGTTTTTTTGCAGAGACACACTACAGTCCATTTAACGTAGTTTCCTATTGGTCACGTTCACATCTATGCTTTTTTTGAGCTGCTCCATTTTTGGAAAGGGTCAGGGACTTTTTTAAACACCAAACATTGCATTTTTGGTTCAACAGACTTCAATGGAAACGCTGCAGAAAACACATGTAGCGCATTATTGACGCGTTTTCACACAATTTGTTTTTTTTAAATCTGCCCAGCAACAAGTTGGCCCCCCCAAAAATGTAAAGCACATAAACCACATAAAAAAAACTAATCACAAATGCGTGTGCAAAAATGCACCGCAAAATAGACAAAACACAAACTGCATTGGTGTGAACCAGGCCTGAAATGCTCTGAAAACACAAAAAATAGCACGTGTTCATTTCGATGTATTTTTAATCTACGCAGCAACAAGTTGGCCCAAAAATAAAAAAAAAAATTAAAAACCGCATCAAAAAACCCTGCAAAACTGACAAAACACAAACTGCATCAGTGGGAGCCAGGTCTGAAGTGCATTGAAAACTCCTCAAAATCGCACATGTTGTGTTTTGATGTGTTTGTTTTTTTTAATTTGCCCAGCATCAAGTTGGTCAAAAATAAAAATAAAAAAAAATCAGCAAACTGCATCAAAAAACGTGCACAAAACGCAAACTGCATTGGTGTGAACCAGGCCTGAAATGTATTGAACTCAACAAAAACGCACACTTGCATTTTGATGCGTTTTTTTTTTTTTTTTTTTCACATGACCTATGAAAAACGCACCCTGAAAATGGTAAAATCGCAGCAAAATTGCATGTTTTTGGCAGCCATTATTGGCTCCTTTCTTCCTATCTGCAAAATGCCGATAACCCTATTTTCGGCCGATACTTTTTGGCCGTTGGTATATCGGTGCATCCCTATCAGATATATGTACACCTTAGTTTGTGGACTCTATAACTTTCCTAAAGACTTAATATACACTGATTTGGGGTATTTTCACCAATGAAATGTAGCAGAATAGATTTTGATCTAAATTTATGAAGAAAGGTTATTTATTTGCAAAATGTTAAAACTGAAAGTTTTTTGGTTTTTTTTTTTTTTTTGTTTACTTAACAAAAATAACTCAGTGGTGATTAAATACTATTTGTGTGACATTCAAAGTGCGACAACGCTGAAAGCTGAAATTTGGCCTGGGCAGGAAGGGGGTAAAAGTGCCCGGTATTGAAGTGGTTAAGAAGAAAAGGTATGTTGTAAACTGGCTTATGCAGTCATGGGGTCCATGTAGATTAAAGTACACTGAAGTTTTGTAAAATGCTGCTTACTATAGCTTCCATACCTGTTTAGGTTACCCACAAGCCTGGCTGAAAAACTTCCATATTGTCCCTCCCTGGGTAATTGTTAGGACAAGAAGTCTGTTGCCACTCACCCCTAGCTACACTAAAGCTATTGTGTTCCTGTGTTCAAATGCTGCGCATGAGCTCAGCCGCTGCTGGTACAGGAGAGAGAGAGTGCACATGCACAGCATTTGAATGCGGTAGCATGAATGTAAAAGGTGGACTTGGCCTGGACCAAGGGACGTATTTGTCCCATGTTTTTAATTGCGTGTATCATCTGATTAAGAACTTAAAACTCCTTTTTTTTTTTTTTTTTTTTTTTTTTTTTTTGAGTCAAAATATTAGTTCTTATCAACAAACAACAAATGGATCTAGCTTTTTGCCAATTATTTTATGAAATGGCTTAGTTACAGCAACTGAAGTGTACAAACTTTAAAAACAAAAAAATTGATTCTTTTGGCGTTCCAAAATCTTACAGTCCTCAAAGGGTTAAGGAGATAAAACATAAGGAAGTGCACTAGTTTTGCAGAGATGTATTGCATTATTATTATACAGGATTTATATAGTGCCAACAGTTTGCGCAGCGCTTTACAATATAAGGGAGACAGTACAATTACATTACAATTTCAGTACAGAAGGAATAGGAGGGCCCTGCTCATGGAGCTTACAATCTAAAGGAAGGGGGAGGTGATACAAAAGGTGATAGTTGTGGGGGATGATCTGGCGCAGGTGATTCAAGTACAGTTCTTAGGTGGAGGTGGGGTAGGCTTCCCTGAAGAAGTGAGTTTTCAAAGATCGCCTAATGGCAGGCAGGGTGGGGGCTGACCGGACATGCTGTGGTAGGGAGTTTCAGAGGATGGGAGAGGCTCTGGAGAAGTCCTGGAGGCGAGCGTTGCATAAGGTTTTTTGTTTTTTTTGCACTCACATACATTTTAAAGTCTCCTTGCCCGACTGTGACTGGCTTCAGTACTTTTAGTCAAGTCCCGAAAAAAAGCATGCAGCTAGTTAAATCAGAGGGAAATCGGAACTGATCTGCATGAACATTTTTGGTCCGTGAGTCAAAGTAGTGAAACCAAAAGATTTGTATCCTAGAAATGCAACTAGTTTTTTTCAAAGGGAAAACCGCAATAGCAAATTTTCATGACCCTTTTTTTTTTTCTTTCTTTTTTTAAATCTCTCCTGTTTTAAATCTTCTTTGTAATGCATTGTTTATCTATGTTGTGAATATAGAAACCCAGATCTCTTTCTCTGTTTAAATTCTGAAAGAACGTTTCAGCTTCCGAAATGATCTTATTTTTCTGTTTAATTAGGCGGAAGAGGAGAAACTTTAACAAGCAAGCAACAGAAATCTTGAATGAGTATTTCTACTCACACCTCAGTAACCCTTACCCCAGCGAAGAGGCCAAAGAGGAGTTAGCCAAGAAGTGTGGCATAACGGTGTCACAGGTAATGTCTGCCCTTAGCGGCACTACTTAGATTACAAGGTGCTAATGGCATTAATATCGCTTTGCTTTGCCAGCCAAACAAATTAAATGCCGATCTTGCGAAATGGAGCACTGGTAATAAATGATGAATACACAGCTATAGTTTCACTCCAACCTTGTGAGAGCCAATAGGATCACGTAGACTTATAGTGCACCAATTAACAAACATGGGTAATGGAAAATTGCTCCAACCATAAAGAGGCTCTGCTAGCATGTCTGATCCTGGAGAGTCTTATAATCACATGGTATTCTGGTAACTGCATCATTTTGCAGAAAAATGTGTGTTTGGGGTGATTCTTTACCTCCCGCCTTCTGTAATCCTCCTAAATTTTAGTTCCAGCATTATTTGTATGAGTGTGAATCCACTCCAGCAGTACCACTATGTAACACAGCTGGTTGAGGTCTATAGGAGCAGCTCTGACACATTATAGAATCTCCCATGTACCAAAATATGGATAACAGATCTGTCCCTTTGCCTCAAAGTGCAAAGAGTCCATATTGCATTTCCACACCAGGTAAGAATGACAAAATGAATTTGAATGTTGCTATCAAGTGATATGAATGTTCAGTGTTCATACGCTGAACAGAACTTTATTCATTACATATACTTTTATAGTGCTGGGCATTTATGCAGCACTTCACATAATGTACCTTCATATCAGTCCCTGCCCTCAAGAAACTTACAATCTAACCCATCTCACACACACACACACACACACACCAATTAGTCTACAATTATGTGTGAAAGAAAACCAGAATACCTTGAGGAAGCACTAGACACTAAGGGCTTGTTCAGTTTCTCAAAATACTGACGCTCATCATAGGCATCTATAGCTTTAATGAGTGTTTAAAAAACCCTCCCCCAAATGCACGTTTGTGGTCTGGTTGACATGCGTTTTTGGCGTGTTAAAACCTCACCACAAATGCCTATTAACTGTAATGTACTAATGCGCAGCAAGCACACAACAACTTGTTTGCGGCACGTTACCATAGACTTGTAGGGAAAGAGTTGAAATGCTTTGCGCACTGTGCGCTGTCCGTAATATCAACTGCATAGGCCTTTGAGGAGTGTTAAAAAAGACCCCTCAAATGCCTGTTTTCAACGGCAGTGTCAGCTAGGCCTAGCACAGGGAGACAATGGGAGGGGAGGGATGCAAACTCACTTACAAAAATAGAAGAAAAATGTATACTTTTTAAGTGAATCTCTGGACACTTTTTTGTTTTGGATAGTGTGTTGGTATTAAAACACCTGTGCTTTTTTTACTGCTGTCTGTGTCACCCCCTCTATTTTGTCCTAACAACCATTATCCCTGGGGCAGAAAGCCATGTTATATTTTGCAGTTGGTACCAGAGCAAAGAGGACGGGGTGAAGTCCCGTGGGGGGGGAACTGTTACTGTGACAGTTGTCTAAAGTCTGTTTCCCCTACTTTAAGGGAGATTTTCTTTCAGTTCTTGCTGTGGATGGAAGTCTGTTAAAACAGTATTCCAATGACAAAATAGACAGTTTTTCACTATTCCTTGCTCTTGCAGGAACTAAACTAAAAAGAGGTGTAGTGTACCACTCCCTTACCACTCCTACCTGTCGTGGGCTGCATTTTTAGTTTAGAAAGAGCTAGAAGAAGATAAAACTGCCTGTAAATGAGAAGTCCCTGTATACCGAGGTCTCTCTAAACAAAAAATAATTACAGTGCCAAAATAAAATGTAAAAAAAATGCAAAAGAAAGAAAATTATTCCATAGGGGTTTCACTATGGTTTCCATCCTTTGGCAAATATTTCTATTCTACAATTTAAACTTGATTCTATATCCATCCCTATGACGATTAATCACAGTAGAAGAAAAATGTGTAGTGAAGAGCTTAAAGTGATATTAAGGGCAATTGAAAAAAAAAAAAAACGAACAAACATGTTGTACGTACCTGCTCTGTGCAATCATTTTGCACAGTGCAGCCCTGATGCTCCTGTTCTCGGATCCCCTGCCAGAACTCCTGCCTCCTCCTTCCTGCCAAGTGCCCCCAAAGCCATAGCTCCTGAGCTGCTGTTCTGCCTGTCTATTCACAAACAGCCACGGCTCTGCCCCACCTCCTCTCTCCTCATCAGCTCACTGGCTGTGATTGACAGCATTGGTTCCCACTGCTGTTTCAGCCAATCAGGAGTAAGGGTCCCCAGAGAACCGAAGATCTTGTGGACATTGCTGGATCGTGATGTGACTCAGGTAAGTTTTTAGGGGAGCTGCCACACACAAGGGTTTTTACCTTCATGCATAGGATGCATGAAAGTGAAAAACCTTGAGCCTTTTACAACCATTTTAAACAAAAATAAAGTGGGAAAGGACTAGCAAATAAAGAAATACCTAGTTTAGGAATGGGCGAAAAACCATTGAGAAAAAAATGGAACTGTGTAGAGGTTTCATGCTTATCGATGACTTACAACCATGTTGTCTTTAATATGTACTTACGGCATTTAGTTATGTTCCCAGCGAGTACCAGCTGTAATATCACTATTACAATTAAAATCAAAATCTTGTTTGTGCTTTCTGTAGGTATCAAACTGGTTCGGAAATAAGCGAATCCGCTACAAGAAGAACATAGGTAAATTCCAAGAGGAAGCCAATATTTATGCTGCCAAAACAGCTGTGACTGCTACCAATGTGTCAGTTCACGGAAGTCAAGCCAATTCGCCCTCAACTCCCAGTTCTGCTGGTTAGTTTTGTTTTTTTAGTTTGTTTTGTTTCTTGCAGTTTTATTATTTTTTACTTCCAGTGTTTCCTTACTATGCTCTCTTTGTCCATTTTATTTCTACGTCCATGCTTTCGTGCGTTTGTTGCCTTTCCTACGTTCTTTCATTGTCTTCTGCATCTCTCTATCCCCTTCATTCTTTTTTTTTTTTTTTTTTTTTTTTTTTTGTTTTGTTTTGTTTTTTATTTTGTTTTAGTTAATTTGCATTCCCCCGCTTGTCCCAATTATCCTCCTGTTGTGTCTGTTCGGAAATGACCTCAATGTTTGGTGTGTTCTTTTTTTTTTTTTTTTTTTTTTTTTTTAAATCCATTTTTATTCCAGTAATATTGGGGGTTTGAGTTATTAAAGCCTCCCAATTTGGCCCTCAGCAGCTTCCATTTTGTGAAAAACATAAATGGGCGATATGTATGTCACACATTATTGCAGCCTGTGTTACGTGTTTGATTGCTGACTTTTTGTAAAGGGTTCCCTTGATGAGATGTTATGAAAGAACAGTTTAAGGAAATACTGAACTAAAACCACCTGGGTAATGTCTTGGTAATTGGGATGGCGTTGCTATTGAGCTTCCACGTATCTGATTATCTATTAGTATTATAAAATTAAGATGGCAAGTCTGCCCAGATCTGAAATCTTGGCACGCACACCAGCAAAGGACTAGTCTGGTTCCAGTGGCAGAGTTTGCTCTGTTCTCCATCACTGTCAAAGTAGGTGTGCTCCTTCACTTATTTCTTTCATTCCTATGGAGAAGATTGGCACTTCACTGCATCTTTGGCCTAAAGCCAAATACTACAGTAAAGGCCAAATGGAGTGGGATTAGAGGAGCATAAGGTATATGAGCCATTTTGTCTTTGCGTTTGTTTTTTGGAATCACATTTATAAATTTAAACTCTGCATGTTATTGATAAACAGATTCTTAATTTTAACATTTTAATTTCACGTTACAGCTTATTGTGCTGATATGGTACACCCTTGCCTCTTGAGACTTACTGGGTTCACCCAATTCATTTACACAATTTGCTGCATTTGTTAAAGCTGAACTCCAGGCAAACGGATAAATCCACTGTTCAGATACACATATGGGAGTTGTTTTACCTTCCAAAGGTTTTGTAATGCGACTCCCCCATTCTGTGATATGCCCTGACTGCAGTTAAGCAGTACAGCCTGCTCACTTGTCTGCCTGCTTGTGGTGATTGGATAATGGAGGAGCAGCAGCAGAACAATGAGATTATCACTCTCCTTCTGTATGCATCTTTTCTATCGGCACATGTGAGTGCACCAGGGCACTGATTCTAAAGTCGGCAATAGACTGTTCGAATCTCAGCCGATTCAGCAGGGACCAGCCAAGATTCGAACCATGTATGGGCAGGCTGAATGTACCCAAAATTGATCAACCAGTCTGATGGATTTTACATGCAATTATTGTTAGCTGCTATTACAACGGATACGGATAGCAGTAATAACTGTGTTCTCCCAGGCGGACCGCCAGGAGAACACAATGGCTCTGCAGGCGGGATTACCCAACAACACTGGCTGTGTTGATGGACGAATCAAGCATTTTTCTATCCTGCAACCTGTGGTTGCAGAATAGAAAAATGCTCTGGCTATGGCCAGCTTAACTCCTGCCTGATCATTCATGTGGAGGGGGATTCACAAGAGGTTTCATAGGACAGATCTAGGGACTAGAAGTAGAAGAAAAGGCTAATCAATCAACCTACTTTATCTGTTGCCTCCCACTTGCTCTATATGCATTTTAGCATAAATTGCAATGTAATTTCTCCTGCAAACCAACCCTGCCCCTGCTTTTGGAAGGGGAATGCTCTGCTCAAAGCCAGCGAGTGACAGTGCTGCTCTGTGGAATTCAGCCCTGTTGTTGGCTATCCAAATGACAGAGGATCTGGAGTTTTGCACTCACGTGACTATATGGAAAAACTTGGAAAAAGTATTTGCAGTGCAACTTATGCTAAAATATATGCAGTGCAGTAAGAAGGTAATATTAAAAATATTAAGTAGATTTATTGTTTAGCCTTTCCTTCTACTTTAATTCACATTAAAAGAAAAAGATTGTTAAATGCATAATTCCATTAAATGTTTTTAATATCCATCTGTAGTCCAACTATTAAACAGATTTTAACACTGATATAAACAATTATATTTGAAGGGTGCTGAGGAGATGAACTGTGTAATTTTGGAGTGAAATTCCCTTGCCAGAAGGACCATGCGCAGTCTGAAAGCGTTTGATTATTTATGCCGTGAAAATAAAATGATGACAACTTGATGCAACACCTGGAATACTAGCAGTTTCTTTACAAACACACAGACATTTGCTCAGGCAATGGAAAACGTGTTTTTCCCACCTTTTATTGACAAAATCTGCACTTGTGTTTCTATGAACAGCAGTTTCAATTCATTATGCTTTAAAATTCACAAACTATTGTACTTGTGGAATGTAACTGTTGTCGCAGAAAAAGTTGGGAAGCTACTGCTGAAGGTGACATCATCAAAACTCTGGTAGTTGGATTTCCGCTGAATTTTTCCTAAACTTCATCTGAATGATCAGTGTAATTTAATGCTGTAGGCTGCACAATAATTAGATCTCTGTAGCTGATCACTTGTTGATGTCATCATTAAGTCATTTGGCTAATGAAATCTCCAGGAATTGATTCAAGGATTGTTGGCAACCCACCAGAAAAGAGATTAAGGATGAAGCAATGGGAATTATGTATGGCAGGGACAGAGGTTATGGATGATGGGCGAGGAGGGGGAGAAGCTGGGTCTAAAGATTGGGGCTCTGAGGAGAAGCATACTGTATACAGATAGAGCACAGGCATGATTGTAAAGTATGACTTTATAGTTTAAATATATTTAATGATTGAGCAGAGAAGTCCATTTTTTCCTTGTAATTGTCTAAATAAAACATTGCCTTGTGCTTCTTTACTGAAGACAGTTGCAGCAGTTATTTTGGGCACAAATACCTGGCGGTTTGTAGCTTGCTGGCTCAATTTGACTTTTGTATGGGGGTTTTTAAGAACTGCTCACAACTTCTGACAACTAAAGCTGACTTTAAACATATAGATTTTTAAAAACAAACAGATTCCTCCATCCATGCTGCACAGCAGGAGTGGACAAATCTCCTGCTGTGGCTACTGAATTTTGACAGCCCACATCTTCAGCTGTTAAAGTGCCATGAACTGTGGATGCATTTGATTGTTGGCTGAACAGCTCCTGTATCTAATTTTCTGCCTAGCTCCTTTGATTTTTCCTGTTCATCAATGACCGGCCTATATTTGAACAGTTTATGACCAGCTTTAATCTCATACTGTAGTTGCTGAGAGAGTTAGTGGCTATGAATGTACACAATATATTAAAGCATCCCATAGCACTTATAGTGATTCCAAAGGTTAATTTTTTTTTTTCTTTTTGTAAAATAACAAACATGTCTATACTTACCTGCTGTGTTCAGTGGTTTTGCACAGAGCAGCCTGAATCCTCCTCTTCTCGGGTCCATGGCAAGGTCTCCTGGCTCCTCCTGTCTGTCAGGTGCCCCCACAGCAAGCAACTTGCTATGGGGGCACCCGCTGCTCCATGTGTCCTTTCACACAGGGAGCCGCAGCTTGGCCCTACCCCCTCTCTCTCCTCATTTGCTGAATAGCTGTGATTGTCAGCAGCGGGAGCCAATGGTTCCCACTTGCTGTCTCAGCCAATGAGGAAGCAGAGACCCGGGACAACCGAGGCTGTCATTCACCTCTTTGGATCGCAGTGAGGCTCAGGTAAGTATTGAGGGGGCTGGGGGCACCGCTGCACACGGAAGGTTTTTTACCTTAATGCATGAAGGTAAAAAACCTTCAGCCTTTACAACCACTTTAAACCTTCCTTGGCTGAACAACGTTTTACAGTCAGCCGCTGAACCCTGACAATTCACTACCCTTAAAGTTGGAATATAGCCAATAACCAGGCATTGAAAATTTTAATTATTATTATACAGGATTTATATAGTGCCATCAGTTTGCACAGCGCTTTACAAAATGAAGATAGACATTACAGTTACAATACAATTTAGCACAAGAGGAAATGGAGGGCCCTGCTTGTTAGAGCTTACAATCTAAGAAATGTATACATATTCTTACAGCGGAAATTCAGGCTTTTTTTTTTTTTTTTTTAATTTGCAGTGTAAATAAGTTTAGTCTTATTAGGTATATGTCACTTTTATACTTCTTTGTACACTTTTGTTGAGGCCAGATAATATAGCTGTAGTGCAGATCTTAAAGCCCCACTTCTAAGCAGAAGAAAAAATACCGTTGCAGTAGTTCACGGTAAGGGTTAAATGCTTGTTAAGTCTAATTTTACAGGAATAAGCTGTAATACTTAACCTCATTCCTCATTCCAGCAGGCTTCCCCCATGTTTTGCGACCAGTCCCTCAAACCACTTCTCTCTGATGCTCCCAGCTGATGGTCACCAAGTACATTGCAGGTCCAATATTCCTGAGTTGTAGATGGTGAGGAGCTGTCCACAAAGCCGGAGCATCTGAAAGAGAGATGCTCTAATTTCCCAAGAATTCCTTCTAGTGGTGGCTGAGCGCTTCTTTTCAACCACACAGAAGGAAATTAAAGCCAGGAGATTGCAATTTCTGGTGGGGGGTATGTGTTTTTTTTTTTTTTTTTTTTTTTTTTTTTAACAACCCCAAACTTCTCCTTTTAAGCTACATAAAGACATCTACAGCACCAAGCAGAGGCGTTTTTTTTTTTTTTCAGGTATGCATGGAATGAGTGTTTACTGTATACTGATAGGGTGGTCAGATTAATGTTATTTTAAGATATCACATCCCTGCACTAGAAAATGGCTGATGGCCATATATGTCAGACATACAGTATAAAGACAATTTGTTAGCAAATCATTTTTTGTTTTAAGCCTGCTTTAAATATTGTGGAGCAGGTTCGTGTTGGCAAGTGATCAGATGTTGGCA